TCCTGGGGGGATTCTGGGGCCACTCAGGGGAGGGGAGGGGAGGGGAGAGGGAGGAAAGGGGGAAAAGGGGAGGAAATGGGAGGGGGAAAGGGCGGAAATATGGGAGAAAAAGTGGGAGGAAAGGAGGGAGAAGAAGAGGAACGGGGGAGATAAGGGGGAAAAGGAAGAGGGGGGGAAGAGGAAGAGGGGGAGGAAAGGGGAAAAAAGGGAGGAAAAAAGTAGGGGAAAAGAGGAAAACGGGAGGGAGGGAAAGGAAAAGGAAGAGAAAGAAGGGCGGAAGGTGGAGGGAAAGGGGAGGAAAGGGATATGAAAGGGAGAGAAAAAGGGGGGGACAAACGGGGAGAAAAGGAAAAAGGGAAAGGGGAATGGAGGGGAAGGAATCCCAGTGCGCGGCCGGAGCCCTCAGCCCAGGGCCGCCCCCTTCCCTCCCTTTCCCTCACCTCGGGGCGGGGCCACGGCGCTGCCCCAAGATGGCGGCAGAGCCTTCCCAAGATGGCGACCGCACCTTCTCAAGATGGCGGCGGTACCTTCTCAAGATGGCGAGCACACCTTCCCAAGATGGAGGTGGGCCCAGAGCCCTCCCCAAGATGGCGGCCCCGCCCCGCGCGGGGCAGGCTGGGCGCGGGGGGCGGGCTGAAGGTGCGGGGCTGCAGTCGGGCCTGGTGCGGGGTTGGGCCGAGCGGGGCCGGCGGAGCGGGAGCCATGCCGGAGCTGGCCGTGGACAGGGGTGGTCGTGCACCCGCTGGTGCTGCTCAGCGTCGTCGATCACTTCAACAGGTGCTGCCGGGCGGGAGCGGTGCCCCGGCGCTGAGTCACGGCCGGGCCGGGAGGGGAGCGGGGAGAGCAGGACCGTGAGGGGACCCGGGACCATGAGGGGACCCAGGGGAGCATGTGGGGACACAGGGCTGTCGGGGGCCCCGGGCCGGGCGAACCAAGGCTATCCCGGGCCGGGAGGGGAGCCGGGGGAGCGGGAGGGACCCAGGGCCCTGAGGAGACCCGGTGCCTCTGACTCCCCGGGTAATTCGGGCCTAATTCCGTTCCCTCGCGCCGGTGCCGAGCGGTTTTAATGTCAGAAAAAAAGCCCCAAATCTCCGGCGGTGGCCGAGCCGCGATGTGAGAGTGACACGGGATGAGGAGCCGGTCGCTGTTCACAGCCCCGTGTGGAGTCACGGCCCCCGTTGGTGACATCGGACCCTCCTCCCCTCCCCAGGGGACCGGGTTCGGCTCCGAGTGCACCGAAACTCCTTTTTCTGTCTGCAAAACACCATCAGTAATAAAACAACCACAACACCTTCTCTCCCAACACTCGCTGTTTACCCTGTGCACACGAGGCCCCGTTCCTTCCTTCGCCTTTTTGAGGTAGGAACTGACAGTCTTTTGTCCATTTAGAATAGGAAAAGTGGGAAACCAGAAGCGAGTGGTCGGAGTGCTGCTGGGATCATGGCAGAAAAAGATCCTGGATGTGTCCAACAGTTTTGCAGGTGAGTTTGGGCGTCCTGCCCCTTCCAAACCCACTGAATTCTTTCGCAGGTAGATTGTGTTGGAGTTTTTGAGCCACCCTGGCAGAGCACAGATTGTTTCCTCCCTCTACAAATCAGCCCATATCCAACAACAAATACAAACGGCTTTCAAAAACACTCCTAATTAAATCCCACTCTCCTCTGGCAGCCAAAAATAACCAAAACACAACATTTCAATAAACACATTCGTTCTGGAAGTTGGAGTCTTAAATCCTGATGTTTTGTTTTATTCCCAGTACCTTTTGATGAGGATGACAAGGATGATACTGTTTGGTTCCTAGACCACGACTATCTGGAGAACATGTATGGAATGTTTAAGAAGGTCAATGGTGAGTTGAGCTCTTCTGGCAGTCTGGGATATGCTCAAAAAAACTTTTTGGGACTATGGAAAAGTGAATTCATATTAATCATAAAATCACAGAATCATTAAGATCACCCAGTCCAACTGCCAGCCCAGCACCAGCACCGTGTTCATCAATAAACCATGTCCCCAAGTGCCACATCCACATGTTTTTGAACACTTCCAGGGATGGGGACTTGCATCTCAGAAGTCCAAGCTGTCAGATCCTGATAGGTATAAAATTAATAATATTAATTAATAAAATTAAATATCCAGCTGAGTTCAGGAGCCTGGAGTGAAGTTATAGGTGTGGGCAGTGAGTGCGATTGGGGAGCTCTTGGTCTCTGGCCAAGCCAGTGCCTTGTAATTAATTTCCCCCTCTTTACACAGATCAGACTTTTACCCTCGATTTGCTGATCCAAATCTCTCTGCTGGGATCTCCCCACAGTTCTGATTTTTAATCCTTTTCTGCTTTTGCTCAGCTAGAGAAAGAATTGTGGGGTGGTACCACACAGGCCCGAAACTGCACAAGAATGACATCGCCATCAATGAACTGATGAAGAGATACTGCCCCAACTCTGTAAGTGGGACCTGCTTTGGGGTTGTTTTTCTCTTACCCTAAAAGGGGCATCTGGGAACCCTTTGCCCCCACCCTTGTGGTGACACAACATGGTGGCTGTGAAGTGATTGTGGAAGTGGGATCAAGAGTCTTTGGGCTCAAAGTCTTGTCTCAGTGCCCAAGTGAGCAGCCCCATGCCAGTGCTGAGGAGGGAAGTGCTGACTCGGGTATTTTTTCTCTACTCTTTGACTGAAATCCGGTTTTCCAAAGCATTTGCTCTCTCCCTCAGGTGCTGGTAATCATTGATGTGAAGCCAAAGGACCTGGGGCTGCCCACAGAAGCCTATATCTCCGTGGAAGAAGTTCATGATGTGAGTATTTACCATGTAAAATAAGAGTCACAGATGGGAGCATTTTTAGGATGTCACTTGTAGGTGTTGTTTGCCTGCATGTGTGCTCAGGTGTGTCCAGGTGTGTCCATTCTGCACCTGCCAGTGCTGAGGAGGTGGGTCAGGCTTGAGCAACACCAACTCATCACTTGCAGCCCTGTGCAGACAAACACCACCCCACAGTGAGTCAGCTGTAATTGTTTAATATAAATTAATTCTGGATGTATATAAAAAAATAGGGTCTTTTTGCCTTTCTGAGGCCTTTGCTATGGAGCAGAAACTGCTCCCCCAAAATGCAATGAGGTTGGATCAGGGAAGAGAGAATTGTGATATTTAGTGAGAATTTCCATTGCTCCCACCCGGGCACAGACCAGCAAAATGCAGTAATTGGAAATTATCCAGAGCACGAGAAATTGCTGGGACAGTGGGTGACACTGATGAAATCAAGGAAACTCCAACTAGAGCCATTCCTCAGATTCCTTGTGGCCTGTCTGGAACTACTTTGCTGGTTTCATTAGTACAATCCCTCGTGCTCTGGCTAAAATTCCATGTTCAATGATGTGTCTCCTGGCAGGATGGCACCCCGACCTCCAAGACCTTTGAGCACGTGACCAGCGAGATTGGAGCAGAGGAGGCTGAGGAAGTTGGGGTGGAACACCTGCTACGGTGAGTGTGGAGGTGTGAGGGAGCCCTGCACTGTAGTGCCCTGCTCCATCCAGCTTCCTGGGGCTGGAAAAACATGGAGATTGTTAAACACAGTTCTGGGAGGTTCACTCCTGTCCTCTCTCTGCTGTGCTCACACTGCTCTGAGCTGGAAAGCTCTCAAGGGACTGTGCCCACGTGCAAAGGGAGGTTCTAATCCTGATTCTCTCTGGGTTCCAGGGACATCAAGGACACCACGGTGGGAACGCTGTCCCAGCGGATCACAAACCAGGTCCATGGCTTGAAGGGACTGAACTCCAAGCTTCTGGACATCAGGAGCTACCTAGAGAAAGTAGCCATGGGCAAACTGCCCATCAACCACCAGATCATCTACCACCTCCAGGACGTGTTCAACCTGCTCCCAGACGTGAACCTGCAGGAGTTTGTCAAGGCCTTCTACCTGAAGACCAACGACCAGATGGTGGTGGTGTACTTGGCCTCACTCATCCGCTCCGTCGTAGCCCTGCACAACCTCATCAACAACAAGATTGCCAACAGGGATGCAGAGAAGAAGGAAGGACAGGAAAAGGAAGAAAGTAAAAAGGAGAGGAAAGATGAAAAGGAGAAGGACAAGGAGAAGAGCGATGGCAAGAAAGAAGAGAAAAAGGAGAAAAAGTAAAAGGTGTAGGTTTTTTTATTTGTAAATTAAAAAAACTTGTAAACTAAGTCCCTCAGTGCTGGGGTGTTTTGTGCTTGCTCAGCACTCAGCTCTCTGCTGGTACTGGCTCTGTCCCTCCTCACCTGGCAGGGCAGCTCCCACCTGGGCAGGGATGGGGGGAAGCCTGGGGGAGGGATTTTATTTGATTTGATTATACTTTTAGCACAGCACTTTTCTTTCCCCCAGTGCATCCTCGGGCTTTTTGCTCTCAGTTCACACCCACGGTTGGCTCTCAGTGCACACATCTCCATGTTCCAGGACTAATCCATCGCCATTAGCCAAGTTCATGCACCACAGACATCCCTGTGTTTAACTGGCTCTTCTGTGCCCAAGGCCCCTGTGGGTGTGGCACAGGGGCACATCCTGCTGTCACCTCTCTGTGCCAGCAAGGCCCTGGCTGTGCTCCTGCCTGGGTGGCCCTGCACTCTCAACACTGCCCCGGCTGCTCCGGAGCTCGGTGGGGACAACACTGGTGGCCCTGTCACCCCTTGGCCAGGGTTGAGCAACTTCCAGGGGTGCAGGTGCTGTGAGCCTGGGAGGTACCTGGGCTGTCAGTGCTGACAAAGCAACACACAGATGGAATCCACAGGATTTGTGACCCTGGTGCTGTGCTCCAGGCACCCATCATGGCCCTGGCCCTGCACAGACCCCCTCGTGTGACACATGGCCCTGGGAAACACACATGGATGTGGGACACACAGAGATCCAGGACATGCACAAACCCAGGACACACACTCACACACACACACACACACACACACACACACACACACACACACACACACACACACACACACACACACACACACACACACGGACTTGGGACACACAGACAGACCTGGGACACACACACAAGCAGATCCAGGACACGCACAAACCCAGGACACGTGTCCACACGGATCCAGCACACACCCAGACACAGGACACCCCCAGATGTGGGACTCGCACACCTCGGCAGCTGCTGATGGTTTATTGCACACGAAGCCGCGGCGGAGCAGGCGGTGCCGTGCGGAACTGGCCGGTTTCCAGCCTGGAGCTGGTGCCATGTCCCATCTTCACAGGCTCCCAGATGCCAGGGACACCAGCGCACCAGGTCTGTCCCCTCCCCGCGCACACAGGGCAGGGGTGGTGGCAGAGGTAACATCCCGGTGGTCCTGCCCTCGCTGCAGCTCCACGAGCTCCTGCCACCAGCCCAGCCAGCGACAGAGGGAACAGGGAGTTTGGGCAGAACCCACGATCAGAGCAAAGGCCGGCAGAGCCCCCGAGGCTGCTGTGGAGCACCAGCTCCGAGCAGAAACCACATCACTTAAATACAACTGCACAGGGGCTGTGGGCTGCAAATGGGACATGTCACGGATATGAACAGCCAGGCCCTGGCTCTGGTGTGGGAAGGGGCCCTCCTGGTGCTCAGGTGGTACAAAGACCCCCTGAAGCATCAACATGGGGAGTCCCTGTTACTTTTGCTGGGTGCAGGATAGGGCCCAAAAGTCAGTCTGAGAGCCATTTTCCCCTCTCACCTGCAGCTATTGAAATGCCATGAAAAGGCAGAAAACATGAGGGGAGAACAAAAGCCTGTGCCAAAAGCAGATCTCACGTAATGGTGTCTGCAAGGGGGGCCCGGGGAGCCTCTGTGCCCCCTGTGCTGCCCCCCCAGGGCCCAACCTTTGCCCTGTCCCCTCTGTACCAGCCCATGCCCCTCAGGAGCCGAGCACTTGCATCCACCTCTCCATCACACCTTGGATTTCCTTAGGGAGGGAAACACAGCCCCGCTTCCCCCAGGGCTATGTCAGTGCAGATCTTGCCCGGGAACAAGAGCAACAGTGTCTGCAGGAGAGGGCTCGGCCTGGGCTCTGCGCCGGCCGGCAGCGCTCCGGGGCCCTCCCACCCCGGGAAAGCACCAAAGCTCCATCACTCCTGTCCAAATCCTTCTGTCTCCTCGATGGCATAAAGCAGCTTCTCCTTCAGCTGTTCGTAGCTCTTGTAGGGAGGGAGATCCAGGCGGTTGAAGCTGGGGACAGAGCAGGGGCTGTCAGGGGCCATGATCCCGAGCCCCCTCCCCATGGCAGGGTCCTTCCAGTGCAGTGAAAGGCACGGCCAAGAACGGGAGCTACATCCCATGGGATGGGGAGCACCCAGGGACCGGTGCAGCCCCGCAGAGCCGTGTCCCTGCATGCTCCTGCCAGGCCAAGGGGCAGTGACTTACCACGTGTGGCTCCGCGGCAGCCACGTCTCTTTGCCAACTTTATCAATGCAGAATTTCTGGGGCCCATTGCTGCCTGTTAATGGCAAGCACAGCAAAGCTCATTAAACGACCAGGAGCTGAAAAAGAAATCCCCTCCCACACACTGTCAGCCACCAGATCCACCATTACATCCCTGAGATCCCAGAGACACACGGGGCATAAATCCATAAAACCACTGGCTGTTTGCAGAGAGGATGTACAAAAACCAAAGGAGAAAGCAAAATGCAGATTCACAGCACAGATGGGCAGCAGCACCACCTCTGAGCACCGTGGTTTCATAGTAAGTGCTCAAACCTATTTATCTGTAGACTCTCAGGATTGTGTCTGTCTACCCGAGACTTTTAAAGGACCTGGCTCAGGAAGTCTGAGTCACTGAGGTGGCTTTTTAACAGATTGGGAATCCTGGAGAGGTGCCAAGGGGGTGGAAAAAGCTAATATTCCAGCAAGAATAACCGAGTGGGTTAAGCGAGCTGGTGAGCTGAACACACATGCCAAGAAAGTCAGGGAAAGGCTGGTACAGGCCCCAAAAAGCAGCAAATTAGAGGATGAGAGTGGAATAATGCCATACTGTGGTTTTCTGGGAAAGAGGTTTTGTCACACGAGAATCAAAATTAAATCAGAAATCCAATCTCATTCAGAACGAGATTACAAACCAGCCTGACAAAGTTAACCATGGTAGCACCAGTCACAGCCAAGGAATGTATCTGGGAATGGCACAGCACCAGGTTGGATCACTGCACTCAGGCCTTGGAGCTGCTTCACTGCCCACATGCTGCCATGTACTCTGTGCTGGGGACAGGGACAGCCCAGTCCCTCCCCAGGACCCCCCACCCAGGCTGAGACCCCAAACGCACCGATGAGCTCCGCGAAGCCCCCGACAGGCAGGCGGCAGGTCCCTGTCACGAACTGCAGCAGCCGGATCCTCTTCTCATTGTCCATCTCTTTAACCACCTATGACAGCACATGGCAGGGGAGGGGAATCCCTGTGATCTCTGAGCCCACAGCCCAGCCTGGGGCTCTGTCCTGCAGCACAGCTCCTGCCACAGACACCCCGTGCCCTCAGCCAAGCTCAGACCATGCTGGTGGTGGAACTGACCTGCCAGAACCACTGGATCTGTTTGCTGTTCTTGGTGTAGTGCCTGTAGATGGTATTCTTCTGCCAGTCGTTCATGTCGATCTCCTGCATCCCACACAGCATCAGCTGGGGACAAAGGACAGTCAGCAGTGGATGCACATGGGGCCCTGCACCCAAGCTTTGAGAACCAACCCCTCCAGTGCTGGGCTTCACCCAGCACAGGCACCAGCACTGAGGTGTCTGGGAGAAATTCCTCACCTCCAATGAGATGTTTTCTTGCTAACGGACCCAAGGAACCACCAGCAGACCCAACACCTGGGGCTGTTCCCCCATCAGCAGAGCCAACAGGCACGAGGTGTGAGCAGAGTCACCGTGTGCCATTCTATGCCCACGTCCCCATCCCAGGTGCCAGCTCACCTCCAGCTCCTTCTCGTCGAAGTACCGCAGCCACTCCAGCGGCACCACCTCGTTGAAGCCGTCCAAGAATGCCTTGGTTTGCTCCTCCACGCCCCTCGTGAACCTCCAGTCTGTCAGCAGCCTGGGAAAGCAGGGGAGTGGGCACAGAGCCAGCACTGCTGGCACGGCACAGGTAACCCCCACCTTCCCTCCCACCCACAGGGAGGGCCCCAGGAACATGAGGAAGGGGAGAGGATCTTCCTCAAATCACCAGGGCTGCCCTCAATAGCCACTAGTGGGTTTCTCTCTCTGCCCCCAAGCTCAGAAGCAGCATCAGCCCCGAGCACAGCCCAGCACCTCTGGGAGGTCCAGGGGTGCAAAACATATGCCCCAGCCCGCGCCTGGCCCTGGCAGCCCCACACAGACCCCAGGCAGGAAGGGTGAGCAGCCATGGGACAGCAGAGCAGCCTCACCCTCTCTCCCCTCTCCTCTTTCCTGAAAGTCCTGGCAGCTACCCAGCCCACAGCAATCCAGACCGCAGCAGAGCCCAGCCAACAGCGCCAGCCCGGACTTGTCACAGGCCACGTAGCCCAGGGAAGCGGCCACGTCCCAAGCCCCACGTTCCCACTCCTGCAGCCGGCAGGGGTGGGCACCCAGCGGGACCCTCGAGCTGGCCACTCACATAATGTACTCCTCCTTGTTCTCCTCTGTCACCCGGATGCTCTCACCACCCTCCTTCAGCTCGTGGGTGGTCACCTTGCCCAGGATCTCCATGTCCTGGATGAAGTACAGCTCCAGGCCGCACTCCTCCAGGCTGTTCTCCCTGTGCAGGGACATGGGGATGTGGTTTCTGACGGAGGCACTGGCAACAGCAGTGAGGGGCCATGGGGAGAGCTTTGCCTGCCCACAGCGGGACAGGAGGGAGCACAGGGCACTCACTTGGTCCAGACAATGGAGTTGTAGAACTCGGGGTCGATGGACTCCAGGTCCTTCAGCGTCGGCCGCTTGTTGAGCATCCTCTTGTAGAAAGGCAGCGTGAAGCCGGTGTCGATGAACTTCCCGTGATACAAAGCCTGGGGCAGGGGGTGACACCGGGTCATGGAGACCCCAGGAAGGACTCATGGGGTGAGACAATGCTCCATCCTGGGGCAGCCACGGGGCCGAAGGGAACCATTCCCCGGTTCCTGAGCTGTGGCCTCTCTCCCAGCTGGCACACACGGTGGGGAGGAGTGGCCTGCCCCCATCAGTGCTGCCTGGGGCAGGTGGGCTCGCAGCCCCTCTCCCCCCCACCGCGAATTCCACCCCATCTCCCTCTCCACTCACAGCTCTATTGAGTACTTGTTTAAACAGAGCTGTGCTGCGGCTTCCCTGAATCCCTGGCTTCCAGGAGCCCCGAGGCAAAGGCAGCCAAAAATAATGCAGACGCTTGTCTAGAACGGCCCAGCGGTGAGTAATAGTCTGGGGTTTTATTGGTGTCCTGCGAGGCGGGGCAGGGCAGGGCAGGACAGCGGGGCCGGAGCCGCCTCCACGCACACCCTGCAGGGCTGAGGGCCAGGGACCCTTCCCCAGGCTCAGGGACCCTGAGAGCCCCCCTGGTAGCCCAGGGCTGGGCAAACCACAGCACTTGGTTGGCCTTGGGGAATCCGAGACAAATGGGAGGAGCTGCTCTGGAGCTTGGGCAGCTGGAAAATCTCACACTGCTGGGGCTAAAAATAGTCCCTTGAGCTGCAGACCCGACAGCACCTGGGGTGGCAGCCAAAGACCTGGAGCCATCCATTCCCGCCACACAGACCCTGGGAAACCAGGTCTCCTCTGGCCCCACAGTCATTCCCTGGATTTAAATTGCATCACCCCACAGCAGCCCCTCAAAGGCCCATTTCCCGCAGACCTACACCTGGGTGAGAAAGGGCTCATGGAGGGCAACAGTGCTCAGCCCAGCACAGACCTGGCACATGGAGCTGCCCCTCACCTTGCTGCCCACCCCTGTCCCCTGCCCAGTCCCTGCTCCGTGGGGGGGACACAGAACCCCCCCAGTGCCACCCCCAGGCGCTCACCATGGCGATGAAGCGGCCGATGAAGCGGAAGTAGGTGAGGTGGTCGGGGTTGATGGAGGAGGCCGGGTTGATCTGCAGGCAGTAGTTGTTCTTGCCTGCGTACTCGAAGAGGCAGTACATGGGGTTGAGCACCTCGTGGGACAGGAGGAAGAACCATTCCCTGGGATGAGACAAGGGGAATGTGGTGACAGGCGGCTTGGGGAGGGGACAGCGTGTGCCCCTGCACACACCTGCACATACCAGTGCCCACCTCCTCAGGGTGCTGGGGCAGGCATTGGGCCCTGGCGTGACTGGGCAAGGGTATCCCCTGCCCTGGGTGCTGTGCAGGGCCTGTGAAGTGTTTCAGGAGACACCACTTTGCCAGAAGCTCCACTCAGAGCATCAGGGCAGTACCATACGCTCCATCCCACCCAGACTGTTACACACATACACACACACCCCCTGCTGTGCACTGAGTGTCCCACACAGGCTGCCCCAGGAAACCCATGCCAAGCTCAGAGCAGCGTGACAGTCCTGGCTTTGCTCCCCCGGCCGTGCAGGGATTCAGGAATCCTTGGATGCGGAGGCAGCCCCGGCATCCCGTCCGTGGTTCTACCCTGTGGTAGAACAGCATGACGTAACCTACCATAGGGTAAAACCACTGGCAGGACACGGAGAGAGCGGAGAGCAGGAGCCCCTGCACCAGAGCCGGGGGCAGCACCACACCAAGGACAGCGGGGGGAGCGGGGCAGGGGAAGCACCAGCCCAGTGTGAGGGAGTGAGCTGGAGAGGGCTCATGGGGACACAGGTCCCGCCTCTAGCCGAGGCACAGCCCATGCCCTGTGGTAACACCATCCCAGGGGCAGCAGAGGGGCTGCAACAACCACGTCACAGCCTGTCTGCCCTGGCACACACCGACTGTCCTGGGAACACCAAGACATGTTGGCTGTGGGGAGAAGAGGCCACTCAACCCACCACCCCCACACCTGCAGCCTGTGTGGAAAGCAGGAGACTTCAGACAGGTCCCCCAGGGCTCTCAGTGCCAGGGACAGGCTGGTGCAATGCTTTCAGAGTGTTCTGCCATTCCAAAAACTCAGTTTCCCACTTGAACACCCCTAAACTCCTCTGCCTGTGGGCTGGGACCCCAAGTGCAGCTGCCCTGTGCCTGCACTGCCCTCGTGGACTCATGGCACAGGCAGGGTACGGCTCCATGGCCTGGCACACCGGCGCTCACCTGGCAATGCCACCGTAGTCCAGGCCCTCCTCCCCGCGCATGATGATGTACAGCCGGCGCCGCAGGTCATACGGCTTCATGTTCATGATCTGGGGACGAGCAGGGCAGTGTCACCACAGCTGGGGCCAAGGCCAGGGCCAGCCCCACACCTGACCAGCTCTGCAGCCCCAGCACCTCACCTGCTGGAAGGAGTCCTCGAAGAGTGTCTGTCGGGACACGCTGATCTTCACATGGCTGGGCAGCGCGTTTGACTGCGGGCAAGGCAGAGGCACAAGGCTGTGTGAGGCTGGCACAGTGGCTCTCCTCGCCCACACCTACCCATGGGCTCAGGGCACCCACCACGACCCACCCAACCCTGCAGCCGCCGGATCCTCCAGGTACTGCACTCACGTGGCAGAGGAAGCGGAACTGGTGGTACTTCCAGCGAAAGCTCCGGTCATACGCCCCTGGTGAGCCGCCATGCTTGCTCCTGCAAAACCAGCACAGGCCACAGTCAGCACCCCCTGCCCAGAGCACCCTCATGTCAGAGCCCAGTGTGGTCCCCAGACCCCCTGAGCGGGGCTTACCCAGACTCAAAGCCCGGGCGTGGGTCCTTGAAGGTGGTGGTGCGGGTGTTGTGGTCCACAAAGTACCGCACGCTCTCATTCGTGTACTTCATCTCCCACCCGGGTGGCAGCGGTGGCTCCTGGATCATCCTGTTGGCAAGGAAGGGGTCAGCAGGCAGCCCCTCAAGCATCTCCCCCCTGAACTGCAGCTCTTGAGGACCAGATGCAGCCAGCAGCACCATGCCAGGCAAAAGGAAGGATTCATGGCATGGGATTGGCACTGGCCTGCACCCCAAGAGAGGAGCCCTGCCTGGGCAGCACTCTGGCCATGGCCAGAGCACTGGTAGGGCTTCACTCCCCATCTGTGGGAGACGTGGCCTCAGTTGAGGCCTGGGCCAGGTCCCTGGAGAACCTCACCTTCCAAAACCACGTGCTCCCTCCCCACTCCCCCCACAGCTCCTACCCCTGCGTGCGAGGGTCTTCCCACTGTGTGGTCCGGGTGTTGTGGTTCACGTAATACACTCGCCCATTGTCCTGTCTCTTCTCTAGGAGAAACGGGAGAGGAAGCGTCAGCTGGAGTCCCAGGAACAGCCATCCCCTTCACAGGACGTTTGTCACCCTATCTCACCTCCCCAGCTCACTTGGAAAAGGCAGGATAAACCCTACATTCCTTCCACATGCCCAAGCTGCCTCACTCCAGGAATGCCAGTGTGCAGGAGATGCCAGGGCAGAGGCCAGTTCTCCCAGTGGGATGCCAGGCTGGCACAGGGGGTGTGTTCACCACACACCTTGGTGGCACATGCAGCCTCCTAGGACACGCACCAGCATCCTTCCATGTGGATTCCCAAACTCCCTGCATGGCCCTGCTGCTGGTGCCTGGCTTGTGCGCTGCACACGTGTGTGAACACACACGCCCTCTCCTTGTGCTGCACACAGGCACAAAACAGCTCCCCACACACCAGCCCCTCTGTATCTGCAGCCTCACACACTTCCCCAGGCACCCCTTCCCAACACTTCCAGCACTATTTGCACACTTGGAATGGTGAAAGCCTCCCAGTCATGGCTGGGCACCACATGCCCTGGCCCAGTGGTGATCCTGCACCCACGCCTGCAGCTCTTCATCCCACCTGCCCACACCACCCCCTACACACACCCACAGCCTCCCCACCACTGTGTTCCCCACACCTCCTCCTCCAGGTGCTGCGTCACTCCCACAGGTCGGCCCGGCTCCATGAGGGCAGGGACACGCTGCACGCACACTCCTGTCACCTCCCTGTCACCTTCCAGCCACCACCACCCCCTCGCTCTGTATCACTCCCAGACTGTGGCTCTGGCAGACCTCACGTACAATGACCAGGACTGCATCCATCCTGGGGAACCCACTGACCCCATGGACCTCATCCATCCCAGGACCCCCACCCCAGGGTGCTCAGCCCCATGCAGCCTCTCCAGCTGACACTGGGATGGGTCCCTTCTCCTTGCTGATGGGAGGTGGGACACCCAGCAAGGGCTCCAGCACTGCCCCCATGGAGACCCTGCCCTTGGGGACCCCCTGAGCAATGTGGGCCCATCTATCCTGCTCCAAGCTCCCACTGTTTTAACCCCTCTACTGCCCTCCAGGGCACAGCACAGCCCAGCTGCACCCACGAGCATCCCAGCCTGCCCTCTCCAGGGATGCTCTCGCCATGGAGGGGGTCTCTCTGCCCTGGGGGTGGCACAGGGACATTTCTAAATGTCCTGGCACACAATGTTTGGGCCATGGGGGAACAGCCAGCCCTGCTCCTGCCAGCTCCCAGCCCTGCTACAGACCAGGGCAGAGCATCCCAGGAAACAGCACAGCAGCAGGATGGATCCCTGCCTGTCTGGGGACAAGGAGCTGGATCCTAAACCATCCAAAGAACAATCACAAGCACTTCTGCATTCAGCAGTTGAGAGAGGCTGGGAACTCCTCCAGGAAAAGGGGAAAAAAGGGGGGAAAAAAGCTGGATTTCAAATCAGAGACTGTGCTAATCACAGGTAGACTCAGCCCCACGTGCAGCCGAGCACAGGGAGCGCTGGTTCCCAACCACCCTTCCCAACCACACCAGGGATGGGAGCGAGGGAGCGCTGACAGCACCATGCTCCCGCAGGAGTGATCCGAGTGTCCCCATCAGAGTGTCCCCATCCAAGTGTCCTCACTGGGGCCAGGCAGGTGAGGCAGCTCAGTACTTACCCCAGCCGGGAGGAAGCGGCCCGAGAGGATCATTGTCAGATGGGGCGCCGGAGGACTAGAGTTAACAGAGAAGGCAAAAACACGGAATAAAACCCCGGGCAGGGAGGCTGGGAAGAGTAGAATGCTGAGGCGAGCTGGCCAGCCTCGCTCCCACTCACCTCCCCTTGGCCCTCAGCTCCCAGGGAACTAAAAAAAACTTGCACATTCAAGGGGGGCTAAAAAAGGAAAAAAAAAAAAAAAGCCCAATCCAAGCAGGGCTGGCGAAGCCAGGGGCGCGCTGTAGCTGCGTAGCTTGGGCAGGGGCTCTGCCGCTGAGCCGGGCAGCGGGACGGCGCGGAGTAACTATAATCAAGGCTGTCAGTATGTGCGCGGTGTCGAGTCTCCCTCGCCGGTCCCCTCCAGATTCACTCCAGCTCCTCCAAGAACCACACAGCAAGAGGTTGGAAAAAATATCGCACGGGCTTCCAATGAAATCTTCCCAAGCGCTGTCACGCCGCGCGCTTCCTGGCGATGGCGGCCCTCTCCAACGCGGGACCGGGCGCGGGGTGCGGGATGCACTGAGCGCGCATTTTCATCCGCGCACACGGGCGGCCCCGGCCCCCCGCCCGTCCAGCCGCACAAGGCCTCTTTCTGCTCCCAGGCGGCGGCAGGCCGGCGCGGGCCGCCACCCTACGGCCCTCCCGGGCCGTGTGTTCCGCGGCGTCTGCCCGGTGGTGCCAGCCCCCCGTCACCAGCTCCGCTGGGAGGGTCCCGGGCGATTGGAGCACGCCCCACAGTGGGGGCTCAGGAGAGCAGGAGGCCTGAAAGTACTTTTAATGGTTAAATAAGAAACGTATCATTACCCAAAAGGCATTTTCACCTCCCAAAACCCAGCTGCCGGAGGGGGGCCGTGTCCCAACCCACCGCACCAGGATAGATCAGAGTCGGCCTGGGCTCAGGGAATGCCACCCGCAGCCAGACCCGGCCCTCCCGCCTGAAAACAGGGACAAGCCCCACTCCAAGAGAGACCAAAACTCGAGGCACCCCATGGCAGCCCAGGACCCCAGGGATATCCTGGGGCACGTCAGGGACGGCGCTGGTGCAGTGTGTGCCCCTCCAAGCTGTGTGTCTCATACCCAACCCCGTGTGCCAGGATTGGGGGCAGAAGGCATTGCCTGGCACAGCTGGCAGACTTCTGGTTTGGGGCAGAGTCTGCTCCCTCCCTGCTGGCACAGGCTGCCCACACGCGCAGCCGAGTCACGTCCAGAGGTACCACCTCATTGGGACCTAAAAATAGCTAATTAAAACTAACAGGACAGAGCTCTGGGCAGCTCCTGCAGCTCCCCACATTCCTGGGGAACAACCTGGGCCCCCATGCCAGAGACCCTTCCCTGCGAGGGATGTGGCACAGGGGTGCCTGCTGGGCCAGTGGTCCCTGGCTGCACCCCGGCCCCCCGAACTGTGCCTTCCCGAGGCTCTGCCTCACTGCTCCTCACCTCCCCACCATCCTCTCTGGCAAAGGGGGCGCAGGGGGGCAAGTGAAACAGAAAGCCCCCGCAAGGCAGGAGGCAGAGCAGGAGCCATCACTGCTGGCAGGAGAGCTTGAAACAAAAAGTACAATCGTTTCATCAGGCTAAATTTGGAGCTTGAGTCCCTCCCTCAGCGCTCCACAGAGCCCAGCCAGGGCGTCACTCAGCGCTGGAGCAGCTCCAAGGCTGGTGCTGGCAGGGAGCGAGTGACAGCCCTGGAGCCCCGCTGGCCACGGTGGAACCCCCTCCCACAGCCCCCACCTCCACTGAGGTCCTGTGAACTGTGTGTGGGGAGCGTGGGCAGGCAGAGGCAGCAGTCATGGGGGTCCAGCTCCCGCTGTAAGGCTTGGAAGGGCTGGTGAGGCACCCAGAGAGGGACAGGCAGGGGGAGGAGAGGGGCTGAGCAGCTCCCACAGCCCCAGGAGCGGCCCTGGTTGTGTCTCACGCAGAATGGACTTTGCACTGCCTGCACCCCCTCCCAGAGAGCTCCTCCTGGAGCCCTGAGCTCACTCTAGTCCCAGCTGGGACTCCTGGCTTTCTCTGAGCAGCTAAGCACTGATGAGAGGTTGGTCTCTCTGCTCTGCCCACCTGCCCTCCTTGCCTCCTTTCATCACAGCACAGGCTGGATCACCACTCCAGGGAGCAGGAACATTCCAGCCTGGCCCTTTCCCAAGCAGTGCTCATCCTGCAGCCCACGGCCACCAGCACTGCTCAGCTCAGCAGAGGCGCTGGTCATCCCTGCAGCCAGAGCCCAGCTCCACAGCAAAGGCACAGCCAGGACAAGAGTGGTCCCTGCCCAGGAGCAGAATGGTTAAGAGACTATTCCCTGAGCAAGGAAACGCAGATACTCAGCTCCAAGTAGGAACAAGGGGCAGCAGCAGAGGGAGCAGGAGGGAGCTGGCCAAGTCCAGCTTATTCCTTGCATTCTCTGGTCCCTGGATGCTGCAGCCCCTCACAGTGTCAGCACTTGTACCCTGGGTCTGCAAATACTGCTGCCCCCAGGACCCAGCCATGCTGCCCTGAGCCTGATGGAGACCCAGGGAGGAACGAGCTCAGCCCTCAGAGCCTCCCTTCCTTCTACAGACCAGACTCCCACACTCACTCAGCTCCCACAGCACACACCTGCCTCACAGGTCAGCAGCAAGGCTTGCCTGATGGGAGCCATGGGAGAAAGCCTGTGCCTGGCCACACTGACACTGGAGGGACACCAGGGACAGGCTGCTAAGGACACCTCCCACCCTTCAGGGCTGCGCAAGCTGGTTTATAAAAAGAAAGTCACTCCCCCACAGTCTCTGCAGGGAGCTGAGGAGCTTGTGGGCTCCCATCCAAGCGCTGCTCCACTGAGCTTGCTGAGTCCACAGACCCCACACAGCCCAGCAAGGGCCTCCCCATGCTCCATGGCTCCCAGGCCAGCCCAGGTGAGATCAGCAGGAGAGCCAAGTGAGACCTCACCACCCCCAGCTCTCACCTGGTACAGGAACCTCTGGCTGAACTGCTGCATGGCCCCCTGGAGCTGGTTCCGCTGCGACTGCCACTGCTCGTAGTTCCTGACATACTCGGCTGTGGGGCGCTGCCACGTGGTGGTCCGGGTGTTGTGGTCCACGTAGTAATACCTGCCTCGAGGATCCACACGTTTCTCCCACCTGGAAGCACCCAAGGAAGCTGTCACTGTGTGTCCTCAGACAGCCAGGCAGGCCCTGTGGACTAAGACACCCTCCAATACGAGGGCTCCGTGCCGAGCTCCAGCACTACCACCGGTTTCACAGCTGAAGAGACTCTTTTGGACAAAGATCCACCAAAAGGAAATATAAAGGACTGGTAACTGTTGAAGCAGCTCCTGTAAGGGCACACGAAGCCTGACAGGATGCTCAGGTACAAGCAGAGCTCCCACCAGGATGTCATGAGCATTCCTCCAGGACAGCCGACCTGTGACGGAGGCAAGGCACTGGTTTGGAGACCTGGCAGGAGGGAAGGAGCACACCTGGGCTACTCCCAAACCCACCTCTCCAGGTAACAGCCTCCCTCTTTTAACCCCACACGGATTTGAGGCTGTGGTAGGACCAGAGATCACAGCCTGGCTGCAGACAGTGCGTGCCCACAGGAACCAGAGGCTCCCGGGGAGGACATGGGTGGGTTTGTGTTTCCCTTTCACCCGTCACACCTGGGTCACTCCAGCCCTGCACAAACTCAGTCTAGAGAACAACAGCAGTTCGTACTGAGTTCTCTGCTTCTAGGAACACAAAAAGGTGAGAATTCCGCAAACTTCTGGAAAGCAAATGGCCTCAGGGCTGTGACCTGAAGACACTCCTGCAGGGGAAGCTGGGCCCTCATCTATAAGAGTTCTGCAGAGCAGGTCTCATGGAGCTCAGCAGCATCATCTCCTTGAGCACAAGCAGACCCCAATGTGGCTGAGAACCCCAGAGAGCCCTCAGAGAGCCCAGGGTCCAGCTTCAGGTTCAGGCACCCTGAGGTGCCCGTTTGCTCACCAGGAGCTGCAAGTCAGATCAGTGTCTGAGGTGCCAGCTGCCCCCACACCCCTTACCCGGGAGGAAGGGGTCTCTCCCACGTCGTGGTCTTGTTGTTGTGGTCTACATAGTAGACTCTACCATTTGGCAGCTCCCGCTGTTCCCACCTGCAACAAAAACACAATCCTGAGGCAGGTGATCCTTGCTAGAACCAAGAACATCCAGAGAGCTGCACCTGGTGGGTCAGTGAGCCCCCCTTCTCACATCCTCAGTGTTCCAAACTTTATTTGACAGGTCTGCATGGCAGCTGCTGGCCTTGCTAGATGGAGACTATGGGAGAGGGGCTGTAGCACTCTGCCCTCTGGAACACACAAAACTTGGAGCAGAAATTCCTCATTTCCCCCAGAAAGGTCAGCGTAAGAATTCACACAGGGTCAGTTTTACACCCGGTGTTTTTGATGTCGTTTTTGTTGGGTTTCTCCTAATATGTCTTTACAGGGAAGCCTTTGAGTTTGGGCTGGGTTCTCTCCCTGGCAGCCCCAAGGCTCACTGCTGACAGCCACGGCTCAAACACACCATGTGGCCATGGCACTCAAGTCGGGATGGCCCCCGAGGACAGCCTGTGTGACAGGGAGCCTGGCTTTACTGGGCCACACTAGAACCATTCTCTGCCTGAACTTATTAATGAATTTACCCTGGCAAAGGTAAAAGCTCCATGGAGCTGTGCTTTCCTGTCAGCTTTTATCCTGCAGCAGAGGGAGGCAAGCCAGCAGCTGCTGACAGATAAAGTGTTCTCCTGTCACACTCCTGCTCCCACAGGCCTCCCTACCCATTCAGTCTTCTGTCTCTAATCATCACAAAAAGCTCAAGCAAATTACTACACCAGCTTCTGTTGTGACAGCAAGGAAGCCAGCCCAGAGTGGCAGAGAGCAGGCAGCCCTGGGGAAGGAGCTGCTCCAGGCTGTAGAGACCAGAAATCCCCTGATGACGATTCCTCCAGGTTTCTGGATCCCTCAGATACCCCTCTGGGTGCCCTCATGACTGCCAAGAGCCACACGGGATTTGGGGGAGTTGCTGGTGGTGGTAGTTACTGACTGACATCCTCTGCCCCTGTGTCACACTGTACAAACACCGATGAGCTCACAGGCTCCTCACCAGCAGCTCCCTGGTGATCTGCAAAGTAAATCTGCTGAGGGCTGGTTCACCCTGTGGGCAGCAGTCCCTTGCCATCAGTGATGAACCGCAGTCACTGCTGACACACAGCAACAGCCTGGGAGATGGGGACACTGGGGACATCCCATCCTCACTCAGACCACCCTGCCCAGCTCCACATGGCCACCAGCAAAGGAGATCCATAGTTTTGGGAGCACTGGATAGTGACAGCTCTCCCCACGTGCACACACTGCAAGCATGAAGCGCCTGACACGATGGCCCCCAGCAGCTCCCCTCCAGCTACCCACAGGCTCATGATGGCCATGGATGCAGGGAGCCACGGGCACTGGGAAGTGGCAGAGCTGAGACAACTCGGCAGTCCAAACAAAACGCCCTCCTTATGTAAGAAACCACAGCCCTGTGGCTCCTGCCAGGCAACATAATGCACCTCTTTGTGCGGGCGAGACAGCGCCATGCACACACCCCCCTCCTGGCCGGCTGTCCCTGTGCAGGATCATCCCTGATAGGATCCAGATGCAGGAGCCAGGGGCTCTTATGTCTCCCTGCCCCCTTTTGTTATCGATCTGCTCAGAAACCCAAGTGAGAGCTGGGACCCTGTGCCCAAGGCCTCGGGCACTGCGGCCGCTGTGCCGGTTCCACACGCTCCTGGCTTCGCAAGGGAACGCTCTGCCTGGAGCGTGTGAAGGAGGTTTTGGGCACTGTTGGGGCTGGAATTACTCAGAACTCCTTCCAGCACCCTCCAGCCCTTAGGACAGACTCTCAGTTGTGTGAGGGATGCCTTTGAGCCACCACACCTGGTACAGATGTTGAGGCCCAGAGATCTGAGCAGAGCAAATCGCTCCAAATCCCCACATGAACCCAACACTCTGCCTCCGTCTGTCACAGCCCAGAACACAGGCTGAAGAGAGTGCTCCCCATGCTCCCAGGGATGCAAGGAAGCATGTGGAGAATGAGGCAGGGCAAGCAGGAGGGACACCATGCCTGGAATGACTGGCAGCTCTGCAGGGAATGTTGCTCCTGCGAGTGGTAGAGCAGAAGCCATCCCTCACGGGCTCTGCAGTGTTCCCTCACAGACATCCCAGCAGAGATGGGCCAGCGAGGGGCTATTCTGCATCCCCATCTCCCACTCAGGGCCCCAAACCACCAGTCAAAGTAATTCCCTGGTGTGGTGAGCCAAGCAAAAACCAGCCGTCTTAGATCAGGGCTCAAGAGAGCCCCAGAAGCTCCTTTACACCACCCCCAGGACACAGTGTGTTGTGCAATCCCAATTTAGCAAATCCCTGTTAGCCCAGGACCTGGTTTGGCAGCTCTCAGGGCTTCAACGGACTCAACTCTCCGCTCTCCTTTACCTGGGAAGACCTTGATCCCAAGCAGGTGAGTGCTGCCCAAGCCAGCCCAACATGGCACAAACGCAGCACATGCCAGAGAGCTGCTACCCTCTTCCCCCTACAGATCCCACTGCCAGGAAGGGAGGGACTGGCACAGAAAGCACTAATCAAAGGTGTCTCCAGATATCCAAATTCTGGGAGCTCAGCCTGGAGGATGGCTCACTACTCCTCTACCGTTCCTCTCCATCTGTCTTCCAAAGCGCAACAGCTTTATCCTCCTCCCTGCTCCGACACACACAATTCTCTGGTCTGTGAGCTCCACAGGGAGACAGTGGTGGGGAGGACGGGGCCACCCTTATACCTGGTTGGACCAGGCAAATCCAGCCTGGCATGTCTTAGAAAGCAGTGCCTGCAGCCTACTGAGCCTTCAGAACCCCGAATCATGAGATATCTGCAGGCTCCTCCACCCCAGGAAAGAAACAGCCTGTTTCCAACCCCAGGTGGGGAAAAGGAGCCCTTCAGTCTACCTGGTAGGAGCAGAAAGGGGCATAAGCTCTGCCTGGAATAAAGGCCTTTTTGAGAGCACTGGACTTTTCCAGCTGCCTGGAAACAGGAAGCGCCCAGGCCAGGAGAACAGAACCCCTCACACACCCGGCATAAAGGCACACTGAGCCGTTAACCCTAATTACCTGTGACTGACATGCGAGCGGGCCCTGACCTTTCAGGCATCGCCTCAGCCAAGGGAAAATAAACAGCTCCCTTCATCCCAAACACAGCCCATTTCACCCCCGCCCAGAATTCAAGGTGTTTGATACAAGGGGAGAACGACCCAGCTGCAACACAGAGGGGGCTGAGCCCAGCCACCCCCACAGCCAGCACATCCACAGGCATTGCTCAGCCCCTCCCTGCTCTCCTCCAGCCCCGCTCTCCTCCTCCCCCTTCTCCATAGCCCGAGAAGGAGGAGGAGCATCCGAACCAGGGAGAAGGGGCACTGCTACTGGAGGGTCCTGCCCATCTGCCCCCAGCAGTGGCCAATGCCCCGAGCATGTCCGTGCCCTCCTGCTCAGTGGGAGCTCCCTGGAAATCCACGCTTGCTCTCCCGTGTGTTTTCCTCTGCCTGATCCCTTCAGCAGTCCCAGGAGAGCAGAGAGCTCTGCATGGACGCTGAGAGGCTGCTTGGCACTGCGCTGCCATCCACTGTTTACTGCCCCAAACCTCCGCTGGCACAGCCCAGCCCCTGGTCCAGAGGATCCATGGCAGCCAATCCTGAGCAGATGGGCAGAGCAGGGGGCACAGGCTGTGCCAGGTGAGCAGGGCACAGGGATCCCCACAGGTGCCCCAGGCCACCCCTGCTCCACTGAGCACCAGCATTCCCACCAGCTCCCAAGGCAGCACTTCCCTCCCTCAAACAGCCTCTCCTTCCAGGCCACAGCAGTGTCCCAGTTTCTTCCTGTCCCCACCTCCAGGGCCCTGCCTCCCTCCCCGAGGGCCGCAGGAACCCACTATGCAGAAGTCTCAGGCAGAAAGCAGAGCTTACCCAGGGGGCAGAGCATCCAGGGCGGGCACTGCTGCCCGGGCCGGGGGGGCACTGGGGCCGGACGCTGCCTCCTCGGCCTCTCCAGAGCCCGGCAGGGCAGGAGGGGCAGGAGCGGTGGGGCCGTCGGTCGTGCCGGACACCGCCGGGGCCGGGGCCGGAGCATTCGCCCCCGCTGCTGGCCTGTCCTCTTCAATGTCCACGGCACTCACGGCGTCCCCGTTCACTGGAAGGGCAGAGAGCAGGGGGTCAGCACCCAGGAGGGGATGGGATCTGGCCAATCCTCCCGGGAGCAGAGCTTGGATGACAACCCAAGCACGGGACTCACAGTGCTCCCAGCCTGCAGCAGAGGCAGCACCTGTGTGACCCGGATCCCTCTGGGAACCACTGCCTCTATCTTGAGACAAAAGCAGAGGGTACTTTTTTGTGCTCAGTTTCTCTTCAGCCACTTGAAACACACTGCATCCCTGATGAGAAATCAGGGAATAAGCAGGACCTCCGAAACTGTGGGTGCAGCATCTCCCCCGAGGCAGAATGAAACCTGGGCTCAGCGAGTCAACAGCACTGGAAAGAGCTAAATGTTGCTGAATTCCAGTGAACTTTTGAAAAAGGTAAGGGGAAGAGACAGAGCAAAGGAAAACTACAAAGAAAAATGAGGAGGAGGAAAATGCTAAGCAAAAAAATGAAAGGGAATTTGTTTGAGGAATACTTATTAGATACCCAAAACCCTGAGACCTGGCAGCCCAGCTGAGCAGAACCTTTGCTACAAGACATCCTGGCTGGAGTGGTAAAGCAAAAGTTTTAAAAACAACCCAGAAACAAGGAACAAAATATGGGATGCAGACAGAGCTCCACGATTTAGAGCTGAGAAATGGACAAAACCATAAGGGAAGCCCAAATATTTAGTATCATAGGAAAAACCAGTATGAACTACCACAGATGGGAGACTGAAGAGCTACAGACACTCTGGAGAAGAGGCAAGAGTGCTCAGGACTCTGCTTGGCAGCTGGAAGGTGGCAGGACAACATCCTCCAACACCAGAGGGATCCTGGGACACAGCAGCAGTTGAAGGTGTCCCCAGGCAGCACTGAGGGTGAGGAAGATTTTCAGGTCAGCAGCAACTTCCACCAGAGTCCTGTGGCAGCCAGCTGAGGAGGTCCCTGACTGCCCCTCATGTCGAGCAAGCCTGGGAAAGGGCAGTTTTAGAAGCCTCAATCATGCTGTGCCAGTCTCCAAAGAGAACCTACAGGATGACCCAGTTGAGTATGCCATGGTTGGTTTGATCACAGTCCTGGACAAAGCAGGGAAAAGCTGATCCAAAGTTCACCTGATAAGGAAGGGCTCCAGGGGGAACACAGCAAGAGCTGAACAATGTGACTGTGGGGAAAACACGCCTGGGAATAATCTCCTTTTATTGAAATTACAGCTGAGAGTGACAAATGTAACAAGGACGTTCTTGCAACAGCCTGCACGAAAAACATGGCAACGTCACCAAAATGTACCAAACTGAAGGGCAAGAGGATGGTTTGTAGAGGCACTCCAGGGTGTCCAACACTAATCCCAGCCATCCAAAACACTCCTCTCCCCATCCTCAAATCATCACTGACAGGATTTGTGGGAGGCACAGAGGGTGTGAGCGGTAAACACCAACAAGGACAGCACAGTCATAAAGCCACTGGGGAGGCTGCGGCTGGGCCAGTAAAACGTGCTTCAAACAAACCAAAGCCAAGAAGCCAAGTTGTACTTGGGAACAAAATCCTGTCCCCAGCCTGAGGGAGTGTCCACAGAGTGAGGAGACTCGAGAGGGCTGGCCTTTGGCAAAAATGAGCTTTGGCAAAATTGAAATTGCGTTGTTCCAGGTCTTCCCAATGAAGTGTAAAAAACCCCCAACTTCCTTCTGGCTTAAACAAAACATTTCCTTCTCTCCTAAACGAAACACTCTGCTTTTCCTTCCAGATCTCCCACAAAAGCAAACTCAGTGCGGAGGAGTGAGAGATGCCCATGAAAGCTAGAGAAGGAAAACAGATCAGTCACATGTGACTTTGTAGTCAGGCACTCAGCAGGCCCCAGTCCTGCTCCACAAGGGATTCAGGGCTTTGTGGACAAACCCAAGAAAACACAAGAGAAACCTTTCCAAATATACCCTCTGACGCAAGAACCAGCCCCCCCTTTGAGAGGTGGGTTTGTGCCTTTGCTGATGCTCCACAGGCAGCTGCTCCTCTCACTTCAGATCTTCACTTAAGGCTGATGGGAAATTCAGCTGAACCCTGAAAAGAGTCCACTCAGCAGTGACAACTGTCCTCCTCATTGTGGCGTCAGTGATGCTGCTGTCCCAGTATCCTTTTAAACACCTGGAGCTGGTGGCTCCAGAGTGGAGCCACAGGAATCATTCCTGACAGGCAGCACCGATCCTACGAGAGAGCTCTGCGGAGCTGTGAGGCATATCAGCAGTAGAAGCAATAAAAAAAAAATCAATCGACTCACAGGGAGGACATTCCTAGGCACTACAAGATCCATCATCTCAGTGGAAATGAATTTTCTCCACCATAAATATCCCTGAGCTCTGGTCCCCACCTCCACGAGCATTGGCTCACCTGTGCTGTTGACTGCTCCATTGGCCATGGTGTTGGCTGTGCCATTGGCAGTGCCATTGGCTGTGCCATTGGCTGTGCCATTGGCCATGCTGGCATGCTGTGTGCTCTTGGCCTGCTGCCGGTGCCGGCTCCTGGCGCTGGGACTTTGCTCTCCACTCCCTGTGTTTCCCCTGGCCACTCCGGCCGCGTGTCGGTGCGTCCTGCGAGGGAAAAGAACATGGGAGGTGAGAGACATCACATGGAAAACCCCACTCCTGCCTTTTTGCCTCAGTCTTGTGCCGATTCCATCCCTGGCTCAGGTGCAGCTGCTCCATCTCTTGGGGGTCTCTGTGTCACAGTGGAGCTCACCTGCCTCCATGTCCCCATGGCCAGAGCAGCCCAACCTCTGTGGGCAGAGGACCTGCAGCTCCCCTGGCAAACTTCCCCTCAGACCACCCTGGGTCCCCAAGGCAGCACAGAGGCTTCCCAAAAAAGCTCAGTTTCACCTTAGGAATTTGTTACTGCGAGTGGGCAGGGAGACAGGGTGGAGGGGGGGGATGCTGCCTTTCCAAATCCGGGGGCAAGGCAGAGGCAGAGCCCAGGTACCTCCACCCAGGCTGGCAGCCAGGGCAGCAACCATGGAGAGTGAGGACTGCAGGGACCAGGACGTCAGTTTGCCCCAGCCAAAATCTACCCTTAAAAGGGCAAAACCCACAAACTGTCCCCGAGTGTCAGTGCTGGTGTTGGGAGGGGACAGCAGCTTGGCAGCGACAGGGCACAGATCAGTCATGCCACCCTCGCCAGCTCCAGCAAGCCCTTGGTTCCTCCCACTTATTCCAAAGCCTCTCTCCTTGGGGAGCAGCTCATGGCAGGACTGGGATCGGGAGGAGACATGGGAAAGCAGGAGATGGTTGTTGAAAATAGATCAGATAAGAGCCACAGGGCAGAACAGAGCTGTTGTGACCCCTTCGACCAGCCACGGACTCCCAGGAGGGCAGCCCCACCCAGCGGCTCCTCAAGAGGCCCCTCAGACCATGAATTCACCCCCGACATCCTGGCTACCCTTGGACACGGCTCCGTGCTGGAGGTTTGCTTTGCCCACCAGCACCTGGGGACATGGAGCATCTGCAGGTGCAGAACAGGCTCCTCTTCCCTGGTCAGGAGGTAAAGGTGGCCCCTCACTGCCACCTTGGCAGGGTATCCTGACATCACATGCCTCCCGAAAGTTGGCTGGGACCCCTCCCCACAGTCACCCCCTCCCCACAGTCACCCCCTCCCCACAGTCACCCCATGGCGAGGCCAGAGGCAGCACAGGCCCCAGAGCCATGGCCAGAGGGCAGTGGGCAGGTGGCACCAGCCAGTCCCACCAGGAGCAGCCCCCTCCGCACGGGACAGATCTGGTCCCTGCCCTTCCAGCACAGATGAGCTCAGAGCTGCCCAGGCAGTTTTTAGAAACCAAAACAGGATGTTTCCAGGCTGCCAGGCGGAGGCACAGGGTTACCAGCCTGAATTAGCCAGCCCGCCGCCCAGCCCAGCCCTCCCACGAGTGCTCCCATCTGGGCATTGTCTTTTAATAGACACTGGAAACAAACCCAGGCCACGGAGCACGGCGGGATGGGAATGTGTGCCTAAAATAGGAGCGGGGAGAAAATCAGGCAAGGCACAGACGGAAACAGATGGTGGGACGGAGTGAGGTGTGCATGGGGCAGCCCCTCTCCCGGGGGGAACAAGACCCCATTGCACCCCATCGACTGGGGACCTCAGGTGGCTGCCCCAACCCTAACCTGGACCAGGGTAGATGGTGCCAAAGAGGAACATGGGATCATCCAGGTGACATCAACCATTCAGCTCTCCCACTTATGCCAAGGCAGAGCCCCCACACGACAGTGGCCAACACAGACCCTGGCCATGTAACACAGGAATGGCCAGTTTCTCCAGCTGAGGTGGCCAGAAGGTCCCAGCATGAGATACCAGCAGAGGTGGCAGCATGTCTTGGTCTCACTCAGCACATCATCCCCCAAACTGTGGCTGAAGAGGAGGAAGGGCAGAGCACAGAGAGCCAGCAGTGGCTGTGGGAGGTCAGGGCAGGAAAGCCCCAGTGCCATGTGGTCAATGGGAGTTCAGCTCCCAAAAATACAGAGATGAGAAATTCCCCCTGTCCCTGCCAAGAGGGGAGGAGACCAGCACCCAAATGAGAGAATCATGGAATGGTTTGGATGGGAAGGGACCTTAAAGCTCATCTCATTCCACCCCCTGCCATGGGCAGGGACACCTGCCACTATCCCATTGCTCCAAGCCCCATCCAACCTGGCCTTGGATATTCCAGGGATGGGGCACCCACAGCTTCTCTGGGCAACCTGTGCCAGGGCTTCCACAAGACAAACAGGGCTCGTGGCACCCACAGCCCCAGCCCTCAGCTAAGGGCCCCTGGGCTCTGTTTTCTCCCTGCACAGAGGGCTGTGGAATTTCACACCCCACCACCAAGATTAGCAGCAAATCCCAAGATGACATTTGTTCAGGAGAAGAAAGAGAAGCCTGACCAAGCTGTTTCCCTCGTGGGGACAGTGTAGAAATAGCTGAGGAGCAAAGAATGGCCCTTTTCTTCCCATCCTGCCGGCAAGTGAGTTTGCCAGCATCCATCACCAAGCCCAGAAAATAAACACGGCTCTGTGTATAAACACAGCAACCATCACACAGCATTCCCAAGCGCAAGGGAACCGTGTTCCACCCCGGAGCAGGCAGTTGCCTTCACGGTGGGTACATCCAGCAGTGCTCTGTCCCACAGAGCAGTAACACATCAACCTGAGCAGGTATGTCCAGAACACCCTAAATTCAGGGGAGTGCAGCACAGATTGAGGACTAGCTTATAAGTTTCCCATGCCAAGGCAGCCATGGGATTGGAATGATCGGAGGCACACCTGGCAGGTGTCTGAAGGTGCCCTGCAGAAGTCCTGGCCAGACTTCAGCACTCAAAGAAGAAACTCCTCACAGCCAACGGAAAAGCAGCAGGGAAGGGGCAGCAGGCAGTGACCAGGCTGAGCCTCCCAAACTAGAACTTTCTTTGCAGGTTTTCTAGCACCTACTGAGAGCTGTTAAGTGCCTGCCAAGCCTAGCTCTCTCAGGTCACTGAGCACTTCCCACCTCTGAGAATGATTTAACACCTGGACAGCAGGAATCAACAGGAGCAGCCACCACAAAAGGGCACAAACTGTGTTCACAGCCTACTCCCAACACCCCATCCCTCTCCCTCCTTGGGTGGAAGATGAACACACAGCATGGAAGGACATGGTCACTTTTGGAGCCAAAAACATCATCTCTGGTGTGTGCCCAGGAGATGAAGAAGGAGCAGAAGAGCTCGAGGTGTGGGGCTTGTAGCTGAGAGTGCTACTGAGCCTGGGCCATGCAGAACCTCCCACGGGCAGGCTGCAGGCGCCCTCTCCACAGCCAGACTCCTATCCAGAACATCTGTACAGGCTGCTGGGCCACTGCCACACTCTGGAAATATAAATAGGTGTTAAATTCAACTCCATGTTGACAGTGTGACACGTCTCCCAATAACCACAGCTCCAAAAGGAGCAGCGCTGAGCCACTCCAGCCCAGCAAGGAGGCAGGGCAGGGCACTGAGCCAGGCACAGGATGGCCTGTTGCCCAAGCATCTCATTTCCTCTGGAAGCAGCTGTTATTTCCCTGCAGCTCTGCTTCTCCTGCTCCTGGACTTTCAGAAGTGTCCTCTTGTGACCATTGTCCAGAGGACCATTGTGCTTCCCAGTGCCTGGCCAGGGCAGTGCTTGAGGGAAGAGCTGGGGTCCCCATGATCCACATTTGAAGGGATCCCACTTTCTTAGTTTGCTTGGTCACAGCCTGCCCCACTTCCAGACAGAACATTCCTTCGGCTGCCAGTGGAGCAACTGGTGAAACTCTCTGGGCCACCACAGACCTGATACTCCTTGAGACAAACCCTTTAGGAGGGGCTCAGGCCAGCCACAGCCTGTCTGTACAGTCACCCCCTGTACCCCCAGCTCTGCTGTCCCCTGGGACAGGCCACCCCTGCCCCATCTCTCCTGTGGGCTGTGGTAGGGGCTCACTGGGAGATCTGAAGTGGGGTGCACTGCAAAAGGACAGGGCCACAGCAACCTCTCAGTAACGGACACACAGCCTGGGGCCCTCACCTTGGTCTGCTGCCAAAGCAGTTGGTACTGGGAGGCTGGTGTCGGCCCTCCGTGGCTGCAGCCGCGCTGGTGGGGTCCCGTCCAGGTGCCTGGGACCCTGCATGGGGGAAGAATGGGAGGGTGAAGAAAAGGACTGAGACACCTACTAGCTCTTCCCTCCTCCTCACCTTCCAGAAAGGAGTCCCAAAAGCACAACAGCCCCACCTATTGCATGACAGACCCCCAGCACCCAAGGACACCTCACCTTCACGCTGGGTTCTCTCCTCTCCCACTGCTGTGTGAGGGCACAGCCCCCCCTGCCCAGCACCCTGTAGCTCCAAGCAGAAGGCAGGACTCTGCAGAACTGGCAACACCAGGAGAGCAGCCACATCCAAGATTCCCAGATTTCACAAGTTTTGTTTCCCAGCAGGGAAGAGAAGGAGCCAGGGGAAAGCAACACATTAGCCCCTGTCCAGCACAAGCTCTGCTCCCTCCCCTGGCAGCCTCATGGGTCAGCCATCAGTACATGTCCCCATGGGGAGCCCTGCTCAGGAAACACTGAAACCATTTCCACAGGCCACAGGAACAGCAAGGGAAGTGGCTGATCCATGTGGATGGCTGGAGAAGGGCCTGGAGAAGGGCTGCTCCTCCCAGGCCATCGACGCTCCTGCTCCAATTCTGCAGGAATTCGTGAGTATCCAGGGCAGGCGGGGCTGGCACCGGAGCCTCATCTGGGAGAGGAGGCAGGTGCTGGCTCTGGATCACTGGCCCAGGGGTGCTGGGGGCCGTGGGCTCAGCCCCCTCCTCTCCCCACTCAGCGCCTCGTGCCTGGAGCCACTGCGCGCACGTGGGGCCGGGCACTCACCCTCTGTGCCGGCACTGCCATCGGGAAGGCTTCCCAGAGCAACAGCCGGCCCGTCCAGGAAAATCGTCAGCTCTCCGCCTGACACAATGCTGCCTTTGTTCTCCGTCTGCAGGTCCAGGGTCAGCTGCCTGTTCTCCACTGTGGGAGAGAGGGGACAGGGAGAGAGACCACCGGTCACCACTGGGATCCCAGCTGCAATGGACGTGGCTCCACCAGCCCAGCTCCCACGTCAGGCCCCTGGCCCACCCCCTGGTGGGTCCCCCACAGGCCTCCCCCACCCCCCAAAGGTGCCTGCTCCCTCAGGGCCAGTTGTCCCAGTGAGCACCACCAGCACTGGCCTCACACCTACAGGTACCTTCCAGCACTGCCCGAGGATCCCCAGCCAGCCTCATCACCTTCTCCCAAGGAAAACCCTCCCTCACCAGCCACCCTTTTACTGGGGCTGCAGCTGCCCCAGGGGCCCTGGCTTTGACACAGCCAAGACCCTCATTGCTCACAGATCCAGGAGCTGGGGCTGTAGGGGCAGATCCTGGCAGGAAAGTCAAGGGATTTAACACAACACACGGGGCAAGAAGGGTCCTTCATGATGGCGACCACCACATCCCCATGCATCAGTTCCACTGAACAACAGCGGCACAGAGGGCTGTCCGCAAACAGGAACACTCCAAACACTGTGCTGAGGCATCGGACTGCCTCCACAGAAGGTTCTGGAGTGTGTGGCATGGTCTGGGAGGTTCTTGGAGACAGTTGCCAGCTCCACTCCCACCCTTGGGAACCGTTTTGGCTTTATCAGCTTTAGCAAGAGTTTGCTGGTCCCTAGGGGCAATGGGGGCACAGGCACAGCCCTCAGCCCCCATGGGCAGGCAGGGCTGGTCCCCTGGGTGACAGCACCCACCCCAGCACAGCAATGCCTGCCGGAGCCAGCCCAACTGAAACACCCAGCTCCGCCACAGAAGGCCAGAAAAATGTGGCTGCGCCAGCCTGGGACAGCAGCCCAGACACTTCCTGACTCATTTGCTCAAATAATATTTGTATTATACACGGATTGCTCATGACACAATGGCACCATTTTTTAGCAACCTGCTTTGTCCTGGTGCGATGCGGGGACGGGGTGTGGTTCCTGCCAGTGGGAGCAGGAGGGAAGGAGCACACACCTATGGACCCCTTGTCCCACCTCTATCTTCAAGCTGTCTGTGCTGGGATTCAGCACCCCCTCTTCCAAGGCATCCCAAAACCCAGCGACATGGGGTCTGTGGCAAAGACAGGGCTATGAGACAGGCTGCACTTGTGGATCTCTGGGAAGTCTCTGGTTTGTAGTGCCAAGGATACAGGTACCCCTGCACAGAAGGGGCACATGCTCACAGGGGTACAGCAGAGAGGCTGGAGTTCAGCTGTCACTTATCATCCACCCATCATCCAACAAGGGATTCTACTGAGCCCGGTCTCCCTCCTCTGCCTCACAGAGCTGTTCTCCGCTTGCTTCCAAGGGGAACCGACCTCACAGGCGGTTTTAAGAGCCTGAGACAGAAGATGCTACTGAGCACGGCCAAAAACCAGAACAAACCCAGACCCTGTTTCCCCCCTGGCTCCTCCAAGCCATAGGAATCCGCATTTTCTCTGGGGTCCCTCCATCCCCCTCCGTGAGCGCCGCACTCCGGGGCCGTACAAGCCCTCATTGTGCGGGCACTCGGCCGAGGCGCAAAGACAAGGTGTCTCCAAGTGGAGGATGTGAACATGAACCTCCCAGCCGGCTTCCTTCTCCCCCCCTCCAGCTTTTTTAAAGAAAATAAACACTCGCAGAACCTTCCCCTCCCTGTCCCCGTCCAGCGTGCAGGACGCACAAAGGGACATTGCTGCTGCCCCGACGGCGGGTCCCCCGAAGGGCCGAGCACAAAGGCTGCCTCTGTCCCGCCGGCTGCCAGAATGTCAGAGGAATTATTATTATTTTGGGAGGGGGTCGGGGGGTGATTTGGTCCTGAATAAGGTCTCAGTTCAGCTGCTTCCAGTGCCCCGCACACAGCATCAGAGCTCCCATTTAGCGGAGGTGAGCTGGAATTCCCACCCAGCCCATTAAGCGGATTTACGGTTCCAAGAAATGAGGCTGGGAGCAGCCGGTGCGATAACGGCCCCAGGCTGAGCTCCAGCCCCCGGAACCCCCGGGGACCACACATGTCTGACCCCAGGGAGCTGCCACACGGGACAGGCAGCCCCTCTGGAACACCCTGTCTGAGATGGCTCCATCTCCATGCACACATCCAGGAAGAATTCCAGACAGCCAGCCAGATGGTGCTTCCCACTCTCTCAGCTCCCCAAACCCTCTTTGCACAGTCCCACTGGATGCAAAGGCCAGGTCCCATTCCAATAGGTCCATGTGATTGTCCAGGTTTTATCTGGGATGGATCAAAGCTCTCTGGTGCTGAGCAGGTGAAGACTGGCTCAGCCTTTGTGAATTTCCACAGCCAAAGGAACGACCTCAAGCTGTGGCTACAAGTCCCTATGGGGAGAAGCAGGAGGAAAGCTAGACCTTCCACAGCCATTCCCAAAACAAGGAAGAACCCAGAGCTTACAGGAAGGGATAATCTTTACTGTCCCGTGAAAGTCTCCCCAGGGCAGCTTTGCCCATGCTGCTGACCCAGCCTCAGCCACCAGCAGCTTAGAGACAACTATGTCCCACCCCATTTATCTGCCAGGGATAACGAGGAGAGCCTTGGACATCTACTTCTTTCCTCTGAAAGGTGACATAGGATGGGCATTGTCTGCCCCCCATGGTGACCTACTGGCTGGATGACCAGTTTTATGAGATTACATCCCAGCCACAGTAAGCCAGCTCAGGGAGCTGCCAGGGCACGCAGCACAGCACAGCTCCTTTGGCATCACAGCCATTATGGGGTGGAGCTGCAGCTTTCCAGAGGTTGGGAAGTGCTGCTGGCTTCCTGGAGGGTCCCACGAGGCCATGGCTCCAGCAGCTCTGCCTGGGGCACAGCAGTGGGGACTCTGTGAGATCTGTAAAGCCCTGGAATGTGGTGCCACTCAGCACACAGTGGGACCAGCAAAAACCAGCAGGGCCCAGTATGGGGTTCCAGAGAGCCCACGGTGCAGGGCCAGCTGGGGTTGCCCCTTGGGCAAAGTAAGAGGTGGAACCAAGAGGTGTCTCTGCAGAGGTGGCACTCAGGGACCAGGGCAGGGGCTGTGCCATGGAAAACGAGCTGCTTTACAGGAGCCCTGGGAGCAGCTCAGCTCCTGGAAGGCTCCAGCTCATGTTGGTGATGGAACTCATTCTGACCCACCTCTCCACTTCCCATCCAATCCCTGCAGAGGCGGGAGAGCTCTGCCTGACAGCGGAGAGGCCCCGCAGGCCCTGCCAAGGTGCTGGAAAGTGCTGGGAGCCCCAAAGCCAGGCTGGCCCTGCCCAGAGCAGGAGCTCCCGCGACAGCCAGGCTGTCAGCTCCAGAGGCTCTCCCAGCTTTCCTGCGAGCTCAGGCCTCGTCACTGAGCTCTTTTTCCAAGCTCCAGGCCTTGGAGCAGAGACTTTTTCACCTGAAGCAAGGCGTGCTTGGCAGGAGGGCTGACAGAAGTGGGGGGAGCTCCAGCAACATCCTGGCAGGCGGGAGCCAAGGACGTCACCGTCCTGCCCACAACCAGATCCATTCCTGCCCACTGAGCGGAATGACAGGAATAAAATGAAGACCACAGCTACACTCACACACTAGTAACTCACAGAGAACCTCATCAAAACAGTAACAAGCCCAGTGAAGGCAGAGAGAGGGGTTGCTGCCTGGCAGGAGCAGCCCTGGGGAAGGATTGCTCCAGCTGAGCACTTCCCAAGACGGGGAGAGGAGAGCCAGGCCCCTCCAGTGGCAGAAGGCACAACATTTTGCTGCCTCACACACATTAAGTGTCTGACTAGGGATGGCTTGAAATCCCAGATGCCTTTTGCATGTCCTTGCCTTCCCTGGGCTGGCAGGCAGAGGGAATGAGATCCCCTCCTCCCGGGAGGTGAGGAGCCCCCAGGGAAGGGGTCTCAAGGCTCTCAGGGGACCCCCAGGGGACCCCCAGCAGTCTCTGCCCCACTCAGAGCTGCAGCAAAGCCTGAAGGCTGAGCAGTGACCTGCAGAGAAGAGGAGAGAGAAGATGCCAGCCCAGAAAAGAAGGGCAGACAGAAGCAGATAGCCCAGGCAGTGCCAGCTGCCCCCAGCCCATGGCAGCACCTTCCTGGCAGGCCAGGGCAGGCTCTGCAGCTTTAAGAGTCCTCCCTCCCAGCCCACGGTGTCAAGGAAAAATCTGACACTTTTTTTCTGGTAGATGTTAATGGACAAGCTCAAACAGCCAGTTGCCTTTTCCATTCATTTTCCACACAGCCCCCTGGGAGGCTGGGAATGAAAGAGCCGATTGTGCCCCCGCAGGTAGGGCGGGAGCGACGGCGGCTCCAGGAGCCCGGCCGGCATCAGCACACCTCGGCAAGGAAAGCTGCAGGGAAGAGTGCCCCGGGGCACAGCCCCCACAGCCCTCAGGTTGTCTGATACCTACACCCCAAGCAACAGAGCCCATCTCGGGGCACACGTTCAGATCCTCAGGGCCTTTGCGAGGTGACAGCAGTGGCAGCACAGCTCCTACGTGTCCCTCAGTGTTCCACACCCAGACCAGGTGCAGCCTGCCCAGCACATGGAGTGTGGCAGGGACAACGGTGTGGTTTCACAGCCTGAAGCAGCAGTGCCAGGGGAAGCAGCCCACCCCAGGCCCTGGCACCGTGGAGGGTCTGACCCAGCCCCGAATCCCCCCCGAGGCACAGGAGGCCCCTCTCCTTGCTCAATACCAGGTCTGTGTCTCACAAGCTTTGCTTGGAATAGACAGAGACAGCCTTTTCCAGCCCCAAACGGCCACTCGCACCACCCCGGCCCTGAATGGCCGCCTTTATGTGGGAGCTGCTGTCACGAGCCACACTCTGGCAACCGCAAACGGCAGCAAATAGCAGAGGGGTTTGTGTTTCCGAGCCGGCTGCAGCACCCTGGCTGACGTGGGTATGGCTAACAGGGGCATGGCTGACGCAGGTACGGCTTCCGTCACACCCAGCCCCCAGCCCAGCCACACAATGGCACCTTGTTCCCTCCCGGGGAACGCAGGAGCTGCTGCGGCCACCCCTCTCCTCTCCTCCAGGCAGGTGAGGTGCAGGACCCCCGCCGGGGGACCCCCTCGTACGTACGCTTCCCACCGCTCCGGAGCAGGTTGCCAAGGCTGACGGAGGCGGCGCCCAGCAGCTCGTTCCTCAGGGTATGGCAGATCCACACCTTCAGCTCCAGGTGGCTCTGAGCCGTGACGTTCCTGCAGAGATCAGAGAAGGGGGCTGTCACCGTGGCCTCATGCCTGCTCCAAGCTTGGGCAGCAGGCAGTGCCAGCTCCAGGGAGCAGAGGGAGGTGGGCAAGGCCATGGGGCAACAGGAGACTCCCCTTCCTGCTGCCCTCCCAACCTGGCTGCCCCTGACAGCATTGTTGTCCAGGGGGAAAAGCTCTGACTGTCCCCAGCCTACGGCCCAGCAGAGCACAGGGAGCCAGCCCTGGCACCAGCTTCACACCAGGGGGTCACACGCACTCACAGGGTGAGGATCTCGTTCCACAGCAGCTCGGAGATGCCCATCTGCTTCCCCGTCTTCTTGGTCTCACTGGGCAGCCCGTCTCCAGCCACCTCCACGTAGCAGTTCATGCGTGCTGGGCGGCTCTGGGCCTTGGGCTTCACAGACACCACTGGGCAGGGACAGCCATGGGGTCAGGGGGAGCCCCCGGCCCTGCTGTCACCCCCCGTCCCATCCCGTCCCTGCCAGGTCGGGGGCCAGGACTCACCGTAGTATTGGGAGAAGGGGAGCAGGAAGTGCTTCTCCCGATGGCAGCGATGGCTGCCACCGGCCTGATCACTGCCTGGCCCCCATCTTCAACCCTCCCGAGGGCTGCAGGGGAGTCACTGTCCCCACAGACACCTCCCTACCCCAGGGCACAGGAGCACGGTGGGGGCGAGGCGGTGGGGGCACCCCCGGGTCAGCAGTGCCAGGCGGAGGGGCAGAGCCGGGGACAGCTCCGAGGGGATGAGGTTCTGAGGGGACGCGGCTCCGGGTGCCGGGAGCCATCTCGCGGCCACGGGAGCACCGGCGCGGCACTGGCAGGGCCACGGAGCCCACGTCCCCGGCAGCCGGGGGGAAGCGCAGCCCAGCCCAGCCCAGCCCAGCAGCCACAGGGCAGTGCCGGGCACCCCAGCTCCTGCTTCCCCTGGGAAGGGCTCCCAGCCCGGGGTGCAGCAGAGCACACACAGACACCATTCCCGGCAGAGGGATTGCCAGCGAGGCAACAGGACCCACCTTTCACGGAGAGCTGGGACTTCTCGCAGGGCGGCCCAGCCCTGGCCCTGCTGGAGCTGGCAGCGGCCATGGCATCACCCCCGGCTGGAGGCACAGAGAGGAGACGCCTCAGCGCTGGGCCGAGGGAGCTGGGGCTGCACTGGCCCAGCCCAGGGCCCAAACACAGCCTGGATGCCACTGAGAGTAACCCACACGGCAGGAGACTGGGCAAGGGATGGGCAACACCCGGGAAACACAGGCTCCCTCATTCCTAATAAACCAGCCCTGCATCACAGGCAACACTGTGTCCTTGGGAGAGAAACCTCCTTTGGGAAAGTAACCCCCTTCAATGGCACTGCCACAAGTCAAGCTGGGCAGTGTCAGTCCTCCAGACACCCCATCTGAACAGTGCAGCTCCCCTGACCGAAAGGCCAGTGCTGATCAGGGGTCAGAGCAGGCACCAAATCCCTACCCCACAGACAGCACCTCACAAGCAGCCCATGTGTCACCACACATGGGATCCCTCAGAAGGGACATGGCAGTGGCACTGGCAGGACAGAGCAAGGTCCTGTCACAGCACAGGGAAATGGCTACATCCCTCAAGGGCAGCCCTGGTCTCATCCTAGAATCCCACAGAATCATTAAGGTTGGAAAAGACCTCCAGGAGCATCGAGTCCAACCTGTGCCCAATCCCCACCTTGTCACCCAGCCCAGAGCACTGAGTGCCACATCCAGTCATTCCTCGGGCACCTCCAGGGATGAAGACTCCACCACCTCCCTGGGCAGCCCCTTCCAATGCCTGACAATTCTTTCTATGAAGAAATTCCTCCTGAAATCCTACAGGAAAACCCATCCTGTCTACTCTAAACAATGTCAGAGGGGCCTGGGGCTGCAGCTGATGTGGGCACAGGGCAGGCCCAGCTGCACACCCAGAGCTCGCGGTCCCCCAGTACTCCCACCATTTTCTCCATTCCCGGTGCCGTGTCCCTGTCATGGCACTTCCCCTGCCCTTCCTGCTGCACCTTCCCCTCCGTGTCACCCCCAGGCAGGAAGGACACACGCTGTGACACCAGGGAGGGTGGCAGGGCACGTGGCCAGGCCTCTGCTGAAACCACGGACCACAGAGTGGAGGGTGAGGTCACACATCACACAGGAGCACGAGGTCCTGAGACCACGAGTCAGCCCTGGGCTCACTGCCTCCTCCTCCTGCCATTCCAGGAGGAGCTGGAGAGGACAGGGGTCAAGGTCACGGCCCAGAGCCCCCAACACAGCAGGGCAGACGGGGGCATTCGCTGCCCACCCTGGGCAGAGCAAAGAGAAGCCTCAACTCTGTCACCCTTGGCAGCAGCAAGGGCTCAGCGGGGTCAGACTCAACCTCCTCCCACAACACTAAAGCCAAGAGTTCCCCCCTGCCTGGCCACAACTGGGGCACCTCCAACCTCTCCCTTCCCCAATCAGGGAAGCAGAAAAAGGAGAGAAGCATCTCCAACAGCTCCAGCCCCTCTCCCTGTGCTGTAGTTTCCTCCCTGCTCTCTCCCCGCACCCTCGTCAGACCATACCGAGATCCATCCCATGGGCAAATTCCCTGTGAAATCCCCTCTCCCAGGGTCTCCCCTCTCCATGCCAGCCCCATGCAACTCCCCCAAGCACAGCAAACCTGCTCAGCACCCCAGAGCCTGCCTGTGCCTCATGTAGCCCCCAGCTCTGCCTGGGAATCCTCCTTTGGCACGGTCGGCCGCTGTCCTGGCTCCATTCCACACACCCCGACCCCCAGCCCTCACTGGGGGGAGGTCACTCATCACGTTCATTGACTCGCTGTCACACAGTTACTCACACTCCATTTCTCCCGGCCCACAGAGTACCCCGACCTGCCCTGAGGATACTGGATATGGCTCATCCTCATGACTGCTGTGACTCCTCAGCCCTGCAATCACACGATTCCAGTGGTGCCATTCCCATGGCACAGGGAGCAGCCGGGCACTGCTCCTGCTGTGCCAGCCCGTGCCCAGCCCCGTCCCGTCTGGGACGCCTCCAACCGTTTTTCTTTCAAATCCTGCCTCTTTTCCCCATTTTCTCTTTTCCCGATTTTACACCGTTTCGCTGTCGCTGGCTCTGACATCCCCGGCCACGTCAAACCCCCACCGGCCCCCAG